AAATACTTTCAGCCCCAAAAAGCCAAGAAAACTTGCTTCCCATCCTCAAGACTTTGTCAACGGGTGTTTTGCCCCCAAAAATAAAGATTTTGTTATCTGAGCTCCAAAACACAAAACCCAAGAGATTAAAATATGTGAAGAATCTCTCTCTCTCTTTTTTATCATGATGTACTGAGATGATAATTGAAATGATTGATGAGGATTATTTTATTATTTTTATGTTTTATTATTTTCGTTGTTTGTATTGGGAGATTGTTAAAGTTACGGGTTAATTATTAAGGTTACGGGTTAATTGTTAATGTTACGGGTTAATTGTTAATGTTATGGATCATCTCTTGTAGGCGTATAAAATTGCTTATAGGTCCCTTAACATAGCTCAGCACGGTGATTCGACAAACCATCAGGCAATATATCCAAGCAAGATCGTTAGACCACAACACTGAAGCGGACTTACTGTAAAATCAGGATCCGAAATGCCAAATCAGGGTCTAGATCAACAACAAAGTTCGGATAAAACCACGAAATCAGAAAACGGCAAAACAGCAAACACCAAAGGGGTTCGGCCAAAACTGAGCCACCTCTAGGTGGCTCGGTGGCCGAGAACCGAAAAACGGGCGCGAAACCAAACACCTAGAGGACTCGGCCGAAACCGAGCCACCAAGAGGTGGCTCGGTGGCCGAGCCACCTAGGTGGCCGAGCCACCTGTGGCTGAGCACCAGATCTGGGCCCAGATCTGAGCCCAGATCCGGTTTGAGGAGCCTATAAATAGACCCCTAGGCTCATTGTTTTGGAGGTTGGACTTTTTGGAGGCGAAACTCTGCCGGATTGAGAGCTCAACTTTGAAATCTTGAAGCTTTGAAGACTTGGACATTTTCAAATCTGGTTCTTGGCGATCATCCATGTCAAACAAGGCAGGAGTTCGAGAGAGATCGGATCTGAGATCTGCACGGTCATCCTCCGGATCAAAACTTGGCTTTTGATCCCGAGAAGAGTATCGATTTCGCTTGGTCGATTTCGATTACTTAGGGCTATTATTTCCTTGGCGAAATAATCCCCTCGGCTGTTATTTCCTTCGTGAAATAACACCCGTCATACCGTGTAGATCCGACCGGATCAAGATCACGCGGTGGTCCACGGATTAACCCCGACGTAGGCAAAGAACCCACACAAGCAAGAGACCGCAAAACAGGATCTTGCGATTTGTTCGAACAAAGGAGAGTTGTAATTTTCTTTTTTTCTTTGATTTTGTTGTAACCGGATCTTATAAAAAGACCGGATCTTTTGTAACCGAAAAACTGTTACTTAAGGAAACGATGAATTCAATGAAAGCAATTTTTCCCGTGAACAATCTGACGACCACAGTGGGAGCCACCGATCTCGCTGCCGAGATCGTTGCATCGCAGCCGCGGATCTCGATCCCGGTCGAGGAGAAGGTCGAGTATGAATTCGACCAACAAAAGTTCGAGGAGTATCTGTCATCCTCGTCCGGATCTACCTCTCCCCGCAAGTCCAAGAAGTCTAAGAAGTTCTCCTCCAGGAGAAAGGCCAGTTGGTACGAAGAGGTGCAAATTACCAATGAAGATCTCACCCCAATTGACGCCAAAGTTGCGTCGGGTGAAGTTCCGCCGACCTCCAACCAGGTCAAATCTGTTCTCGCCAATTCCTCCGCCGCTGAGGGCGTAGCGACTCTCTCAAAGAGAGCCCACCAGAGGCGACGTCAACGCCTGGCGTGGCAATTCGCAAAGGTGATGGAATCCACGGACGGAATCCGCTATAACGCGGATCTGAAGAACAGGAGAGGCAAACAACCTCAACAAATGATGAATGACAGCTCCTCCAAGCTGCCAACGAACGAATGGATCCGTGTCAAACGGAATCGTTCGACGCTTGAAGAGCGCATTCGCAAGCGTCGCGCACTGTTAGCGCAGTCACGAGCTCAAGTTCAAGAAGCCCGCAAAAGACTGCGGAAGGAAGTGGCCAAGAAGCCGCCACCAACCCGCCAAGTATGGAGGCTGAAGTCTGAAGCAGCGATTCAGGCTAAAGAGCAACCTTTGTAGCCTTCAGCAAAAGTTCAACCTCCGGCGAACCAACCTAAATCGCCGATAATTCCCATAGATACTCCGGGAGATCCCGCAGGACCATCCCGAAGAAGGAGGTCAGTTTTGGAGCGCCTCAGTCCACTTCCCGATGAGCGATGCAAAGCTCCAGTTCAAGATCGTTTGGGCCCGATAAAGAAGCCCCGAACGACTCAACATGCTGGGAGTCGCCGCCACCCTCAACATGAAGAGATCAGGGCAGCCAGGCGCACCAATTTGCGCATTGAAGTCCAGGAGCCAGCTGAGAATTCATGCCCACAAAGGCATGTTTCGAGGCGCGTGACTCTTGAAAGCCCAAAGAAGGTAGTTCGTCCTCAGAAGGAAACATTATCGTCTGATGATGATAGCATTATACCTGAGAAGTCGTGCCAACATACGATAGGTTACTCCGACCTTCAAACAGACGAGTTGTACTATCGTGTTAGGGGTATGAGTAGAACCAAGAAAAGGAGCCCTCGAGGACTAAAGACTCAATGCCCCTGTTCCAAACTTATTCGGACAGTATTGTCGGAGTGCAACTGCACCAATACAGTCCCCGAAAGAATTTTGGTTTTTGAAAGGCTCAGTACCGAAACGCCAAAACCAAGGCCTAGGCGTTTCCGACGAAGGAGAGCGGTGGTTGAAGATGGAGAATTTCCGAGGGTCACCACAAACATGACCAGCAAAGGGACATCGACACAGAATAATCCCGAGTCGATTCCGAAAGCATCCCGGCGTATAACACGTCTGCAGTCTGGAGCCATCATACGAGCAACTTATGGTAGGATTCGGACAAGATTACCTTCAGAAGATGAAGAATCGGATGTTGGCTCTGCGGTTGCATCAGATAATACGGTATCCAGCGAGGGACAACCCCGCGAGTCACTTATGATAAGTGCGGAACAAAGAAGCCATGGCTAAATAACAGGAGAGCTTCAGGTTCGAAATACAGATGGGCATGCAGAATATGAGAGAAATGCATGACCAACAGATCCAAGCACTGACAAACCAGCAAGGCGAACCAAGTCGTCGTAACCAGGTTAATCAGGAAGATGAGTACACGAATGCGAATGAAGTTCATAATGCCAATAATCCTCCCGTCAATGCAGGGGGTGGTAACAAGAATGCTAGTAAAAACACAGGTGAAAGCTTGAAGATCAAAAACCTCGAGAGCAAAATCAATACGTTGATTTCCGCTCAAGAGATGAAGAAGACGGGCATTCCGTGTCCATATCCAAGAGAATGGGAATCAATCCCGTATCCGGCGAAGTTCAATTTAATTAACTTCACGTCGTTTGATAGGAAGGGTTCACCCACTCAGCATTTGATTTACTTCAAATCGCACCTGGGAGTTATCTCTGGCAATGAGTCTCTGATGGTACGGTCCTTCGTTGGCACTCTTCGTGGAGCCGCCTTCGATTAGTATCGCCGCCTCAAGCCAGGAAGTGTGAAGAGCTGGGACGATATAGAGACTAAATTCCTCACCAACTTCTTTAACGACGACACCGAGATATCCATCGGGTCGTTGCTTGACGAGAAACAAAAAGGCGGGGAATTGGTTTATACCTTCTTCAAGAGGTTCCGGAACATGGCGATGAACTGTCGGGACCCGATCACTGAGGAGTTCATTCTCCAGACTTGCCACAACAACCTCACATTGGGCGTGTTGGAAGCAATGGGGACAGCGCCGTCCGAAACATGGAAGGATTTGAAGATCCGAGGAGAGCAAGCCGAACGCTTCCTCCGAAGGAAGAAAGCCAAGAGGAGCCAACCGACGGCGAATCTTCCGAACTCAAACTTCGCCTCCCGTGGGAAGGACAAAGCACCCGCAGCTACTGGTGGTACTAATCAAACATCACAATAGCAACCCTGAAGGCAGCAAAAGACTTCGGACCCGAAACTCCAAAAAGAGTATTCCTTCAAGAACGAAGACGTTCCAGCCATCTTCGAATCCCTCCTTGAAAACAACAAGATCAAGCTATCACCTATCGCAAATCAGGAGGAAGCTGATAATACTGTGGATCCAAAGTACTGTGCATACCACAGGAGGGTCCTTCATCCCACCAAGGATTGCTTCGCTTTAAAGAACAGCATCCAAACCTTGGTTGAAGCCGGCGTTATAACGCTAGGGTAAGCCAATTAAGAACGGCAAGACTTCGACAAGTATAAGAGTATAAACTGCTTCTTAAACACTCCGACAAGTATAAGAGTATAAACTGCTTCTCAATCCTTCAACCGGTATAAGAGGTTAAACTGCTCCCTGATACTCCAGCATGTATATGAGTCTAAACTGTTTCATTTCTTTCACGGGAAGTTCCTGGAGAATTTTCTTAAGGATAACCCGGTCATGTACTGAGTACAATGTCGGACCCAGTTCCACAAGGGAAGCTGGGGGTGGATTATTCATGTATCGGGAAGTTCCCGAAAGAATATCACGAGTGATATTCTTAAGGATAACCCAATCACTATAAAAGTGATAAGTAAAACATCCACATTTAAACTCTAAATGTCGGAATGTTTTCCATTATCGTTATCAAATTCACTAATTCTCATGAGTTATCTTGTCGAGACGAGATTCGATCCTTTTGACAGATTAATCTTTCCTCATAAAAATCTCCCACTGATCAAGTCAATTGACGGTGGGTCCACTAAATTTTTTGTCCGTCAATTCATGGTAATTTCCAAAGCTTGACGTGTTAAGGCCTGATTACTTAACGTCAAAACCCTTCATCGAATGACTAGTACAAACCAGTATTTCTACTGCTACTTGTATTCCACTCCCTTTG